GCCTGCAGGACCATTTTGTTTTAAAATTTAGGATTGCGCAGAAAATTCTTGAGCGTGATTTTGGAAGCCGATTTTTCACAATACCTAAAAAGAACCGACTGCCAAATTAATACTGAATTTAAGAGTTCTCTGAAATACCGGCTTGGGGTCAAACTCCACCTTGTTAAGCGGTCTGGAACACTAGCCCTGCGTGAAGGGCGCTATATAAACGCAAGTTGTTGTTGTATGTTAAACTTTAAGGTAAAATGATATTATAGGCCAAGTCCAGGTGGAATTTTTTGTCTATATTGCCCCCTTGGGCCAGCTTTAGATCTTTACAAAAAAAGGTTTGTGGCAATTATAGTACATGAAGTTATTCCCCAAAATGACCCATTTCTTGTATGTTTTGTCAAGCACAGTTTATTTTTTAAAAAGGCAAAATTCATCAGAAATTTTCAATTTGGCAAATTGTTGATTTTAATCTTAAATCTGAGGCTAGTTTACTGTATTTTTAAATAGACCTTAAAGAAAACTGGTTACAAGATTAAGACTGTGGTTAAGAATCTGTCAAATTCATCACGGTCTGAAATGCTAAGAAAATTACTAAATCTGGACTCAGGTGGACCATCTACCTCAGTGTCTTCAGAAAAGAGGACATATGAGTTGGAGCAGAAGCACACACACTGTTCACAGCCACTTGCAAACTAAGTTTGGTGAAAATCTGTGGATATGCTATAATGCAGCATGATAGAATCTTGCCCACATGGGAGCCATGACAGCAATCCCTTCAGTGGGATTTTTTCCTGCTCGCTGGTTGCTGTGATGAATATTTTGCTCAGGAAGCTGAATGGCATGAACGTTTTTAAGAGGAAATTGGATGGGGTTTTGATGGTGAAAGTGTTTGGGGGGGGTGCGGAAGATATGTGAGATAGGGAGAGATCGCAGTTGAAAATACGACTGGTCAGATGGACTTTAATTTTCTGGTTCTGCACATTCTGCACTTTCTATTACTAAAATCATTATGCCAGTTTTGCACAAATTTGCTTCCGTGGTACCAACAGGTAATTAGATTATGTAACCATTTCCTTCATATCTACACAGCAAAACAATTTGCTGATGGGCACATCAATTTACATTCTATTTTTGATTTAAGTGGTGCAGGAAAAAATGCAATCCTGGCACTATGAGGCTGATCATTTTCCGACACTGTACCGTGCCTTGTGCGTAGTTTCTGTATTTTATAACACTGTCAATTACCCACTGTAGTTGACACCAATCACTTAACCTATCATTTTCAATAACCAAGGCATCAGTCATTCATCAAGGCAGGGAGATTGCAAAACTCTCCCCCATTCTGGGAGAGCAGCCTGTACCTGTTTGGTAGGATCAAGGGCAATCTCTTCTTGAAGAAGTGAAAATCTGCCAGAAAACAGTTCACATCACCAATTGTGAATAATTTAGATCCTGATAGAAGATGATCCAGTAGGCTTAGGTGGAGGCCCCAACAGGTCCTCTACGGTTTAGATTTCTTTTGTGCAAAAAAATCTCTCTTAAAAATCTATCACTGTCGATTAATAAACAAAATGATCATTTTCCTGCTCAGGACCCAATTTTGAAAAAGTTCAGGTTAATAATTAGAAGGGCCTCTTGTGGCTACCTTGTTGATTTGCGGCATTTTAACTGTTGGTAAGATAGAGCCAATAAAGTTGTTTTTATTTGGATCATAAAATGGTAAGTATAGCACAGTGCGGGCCCACCCATCTGGCCCTCAGGCACTGGTTGCCCTCTGCTATCTCACTCAAGTGCCTATTGTTTGTTCATACGTGATCCTTGGCAGTGACTGTAGAGGGCATAACTACCAAACACACACACAATAGACCTGCTGTAGAGGCACCAGCAGCAAGAATCCTGGCTGTTTTCCCTCCCCTAACCCTGGGGAAGGCCAGGACCAATAAAGCATTGCCAGGCAGCTCCAGCTGAGATCAGCAAACTCAGCATGGACTGAGATTCAAACCAGTGAGCTCCAAATCTGTAAACTTCAGCTCTATCCAGTAACCTTCGGGGCTGCTATCCTCGGCACTGGTAGAGACATTTCTCTAAATGTCTCAGTGGTGTGCATTGAGTGTGACAAAGGTGCTGAAATTTGGGAAGGGGGAGAACAACTACTTGCATTTTTATAGCATCCCTCATACAGGGTTTAGAAGGAGGGCTTTATGTAGCTGGAGGATTTAATCTCTTAATAAGATAGGCACTACTATACTATTAGTAAATTTGTTGTGGAGCAGAAAATAATTAGTTAAATAAAGTTAAATATAACAAGGTTGAAGGTAGGATAATAGTTTTATAATTTAAATGTATTACATTAGCAGTGATGTTTCAAAAGTACTTGGAAAATGGAAAAATATTCTCAAGTAATTTAATAAGGTTGGGTACACATTCTATTCAAATAGCTACACAAATCCTGAAATTCTATAGAAATTTCCTAAGTAAAATCCTGAAGTAAAGATGCAGTTTCAAACTTACTTTAATTCGTTTAGATACTCTAGAATCAATAACGCAGTAAGGGTTGACTTTCCCTTTAATTTCATACACAAATGAATACATTCTTAAGTCACTCAGTGCATCGTAGGGACTAGGAATGTTGTACAATCACAGACACATAACAGTCGAATGGCTTGAATAGATTGCAGTAAAAGGTTAGTCTCTCTACTATTGTTCTGATGCTCCATAATATTACAGCTGAAATATGCCTATTATTGGCCTTCACCTACCTAGTTTTAAACTATCTATTGCATTAAATTTGTTTGAAACGGTTAAAGCAGTGTTTAACTTTTGCACAAATCCTGCCCTCGATATGCAGTTTGATTAAGTTATACCTCCTGAAATACAACCCACAAGCCATTTCATAAATGCTACAACTTGCTCTATTTTTTTTAAAATCCCCAAACCGTTTCTCTATTTGGCATTTACTTTTAAACTTCAAATAAAAACACTGCAATAAAAAAGGTTCACACACGTTTCCTTCATCGTGTTCAAAGTAATTCTCAGTGACCAAACTCAATTAATTTGTGGGTAATTTAGAAAGGTTGCTGTTATATCCCAAAGCTACTGGATAAAAATAAATGTTCAATACTCTTCAAAAGCACAGCCTTCAGAGACACAATAAAAAGGATACAGCTCTGAATGGAATGATAAAAAAATGAAAATAATTTAAGCAATTTAGATCAGCTTCTGTCAAAGTGATAAGGGTTAAACCCAGAACAGGTAACATTACCAGACTTCTGAAATTATGGCAAATAACAATGAAGGCAGAACTCCTAGAATTTTCTGCTCTATGCAAGGGGAATGACAATTTTGGCAAGGTTTAACATTAAAATCTTTATGTGGGCAGGATATAAACAAAACCAGCCAATAACATAAGTCAGTAAGCAATAATCTATGATGTAGCACGTTAACAATCTTAATCCCTTGATGAAGGCTAACAAAATGGCATACATTAGGGCTGTAATTAACTTGACTTTCTTTGTCACTTTGAGACTAGCGACACTCATTATAACCGGCAATGAATCACATACAGTTGTGGAACGATTGCAGTTGGCAGGGTCAAGATTATTACCAGAAAGAAGAGCACTCAGCAGGAATGTCCGACCATACATTTTTGCAAGCACTGAAGGGTTTTTACAGCCCTGTGTGAAGACAATATGGTAAAGACAGAATCCAGAATGCACATCAACACTCAACTTTATGGTCACAGACAACAGCTGGCAAACACATGGTTCACTTGCAATCTTATACATCGAAATGGCTCACCATTTTTAAACATTTGTTAGATGCCATTATTGTTATACTCAATATAAACAAATATAGTTAAGCGACAAATAACTTAGGATCCTAGGGAGTGAGATTGTGCACATCTCCTGCACACTAAACAAATGGCCTTTTCCTTCATCAGTACACAGCAACTCCATGCACTTGTCCCACCAATGCTGGGAATTTTGCGAGTTTAGTTCTAATAATGTAATGTTACAGTTTAGTAAGAAATAATGCTGGAATCCATTGCCTGAAAGGGTGGTGGAAGCCGATTCGAGAACACCTTTTAGGACATAGATAATTATTTGGGGAGGACAAGTTTGCAGGGCTATGGGGAAAGAGCGGGGAAGTGGGATTGAATTGGAGAGCTCTTTTCAAAGAGCCGTCACAGACACAATGGGCCAAATGGCCGCCTTCTGTGCTGTATAATTCAATGATAAAAGTGCTGTAAGAAAGAATACGTCAATAAGTAAAAGTAAGAAATGTTGTGATTAGTCAGTGAAGACAGTTCAGAGGGTGACATATGATAGCATCTGAAATGACATTCTAAAGTCACATAACTAAGCCTTGATTATTGTTTATACTTCAGTTTTTCTGTGAGACAGAACTTAAACAGCTGACAACAATGCCTAGATGTATGAAGTCACAGAGTAATAAGAAGTCTGTAAATAACCAAGCTGTGTCATGTATCGTTTTATATTGATCGTCCAAATCTGATCCTTATAAACGTATTGGGTGTTATTTGCAATGTGATGTTAGTAGAGTATTAGTAGAGTGAGTCAAAACAGAAACGTGCACTGATACTATCTGTTCATAGTCATCTTCTATGGCTGAGGAGAACTCTGCATGTGTACAACTAAGCACATGTGGAGCTTTTCTTCATAGCATGGAAAAGTGGTTAAAGTGTTAAGGTTAAAGTTTTAGGAATGCATCTAGGTCACTAGTAATTTTAAGAACTCCAAGAGGGGTGTCCCAGGAAAATGTAAAATTACATTTTCAAGTTGTTATGGAGGCGACTTCAGTAAAGCCTGGTTGATGGAGATGGTTTTGGAAGTGGAGCTCAAAATGTAATTGATGAGACATATCATAATTAGCCTTAATTCAACACAGAAACTGCATTAAATCAATGCTATCTATGAGGTATTAAAAAGTGAGGAAATAAATCCACACTGAGTAATCACAACAGTTTATTTTTTTGCTTTACTTCTTCCCAGGGCAGTGTTTGTTCTTTTTGGAAAACATGTCATAGCAGTGATTTCAGTTTTGAATTGCAAAGATGTCTCATAATGTTAAACTTTGGAATCCTCGAGTGGAATTCAAAAGGAAAATCAGGTTCAAATATCCCAACCTGTAGATTTTATTGTCCTGTTTAGGGATCACAGATTAATTTACCTTTTTGATGCAATACTGTAATCTAATATGTCTTAACTGTTTTTGCCATGAGCACTTTAAGCACTTATCCAATATATATTTATAACCAAGTCTGTAAGTTGGAGGTTTTGCTAGCATAATTTCATGCATGTGGTAAAAATGTCACCTGGAAAGGATTTTCAGCCTTTCTTCGAATACTGTGAAACATGCACAGTATGTAGACTGAAAACACCGCTATCAGTGCTCGATCATTATAACATTTGGTACACTTGACTCTAATGGCAACCAGAAATAAACACTGGACTGTTGGACTGTCTTCAAAGTCATCCAGAAAAAAATAAAGCTTTTTTTCTTAAAAGTTGAAAATAAATTAAATATGATACTCCTGCAATAATAAGTGATATTAATCCTATTCATATTAATTCAACTTGGAAGGTGGGGGTGGCGGAACCAAAATAAAGTGTGCAACTATGTTCATTCATTTCAAAATACACAAATCAAGGTGCAAAAAAACCCAGGAGAATAAATTTCTAAAGAAGAGAAACACAATATCAATGTCTGATAAAGGGCTGGCCTAGACCTCCTAACTTCACCCTCTGCCTATCACAAACTGAACACTTCTTCATCAACACCCTTTAATATCTTACAGGTTTGTGCAGTTTTTGAGATATTTCTAGGGCCAATAGTAATTCTGTTGACACTGGCCAACGTTCATCATTCTTCTGTGCATCCCAGCAACTCCGTCCGCAAAGTAATTCGCCCGTACCATGACCAAGGCAAGATCCGAATATACTGCGCATATATAGGAGGATCGATTAAGTTTTTCCTGTGCGTATCATTGTCAAAGTTACCTTGGAAAACCTGTCAATTGAAAACAAAAGCACATGTTATCAATATAGTGAAGAAACACTTTTTCTTAGATATGCATTAGTCCAGAAACTGACACCTCACTGCCTTGTCACCTTCATCATTTTGTACAGTAAAATAAAGTAAAATAAAATTTGTATGCATTTCACCCACAAAATATACAGTCAGTTCACTTAACAATATATTCTGTGAAGGTTTTTGAGATGTCTCAATGATGCAATAAGGCGCTATTTCAAATGCAAGGATTATTATTATAAAATGTGTTGACAACCTAACTTCTTGGGAGGCATAATAATGGAGATGTTAGAACTGACTGACGCTACTTATTTATAAGAATCTAACACATAGAAACTACTTGTTTTGATACACGTTTAATAGAGAAATACACAGATACTTGAACAATAGAGATATTAAGGTATGGAGAAAGGGCTGGGCATTGGGATTAGAAGATCTGTCAAAATCCGATAAATTGGTAGAACAGGCCTCAATGGCCTTCTCCTCCTACACTTTCCCTCTTATGATAATTAATTAATCTTAATATAAATAATTCATTTATTTTAAAAGTGAATATGGATTAGGTCTAAATTATGGTCTGAGGTAGGGCATTCCACATCAGAACAATTCCCTGTGTACAAAAACATCTCCTAAACTCTCCCTTGGCTCTGTTGGTAATTACCTTCAATCTATGCCCTCAATGCCAGACAGAGTGAAGTGCTTCATACTCAGTACTGACATTTCTCACCTAGATGAGGAAAAACAATACCCAAATACTCCAGTCTAAATGGGCCGGGTCAAAACCCAAATCTTTTCTTCAAAAGGTCCAATCCTTTTTAATTCTGCTCAATTACACTGCTGTTCCGAGCCTCAGTAAACTAGATAGTTTCCATGACAATATAATTTTGCAATGAATATTGTTTATGAAAAAAAATGCTGGAAAGTAAATATTGCCTCACTGCACTGTTCATGTCACAGAAGCCAAAATTGTACAAAACAAAGTCAGATGCTGGTGATCCCTCTAGCAGTTTATTTTATTTAGTGTTATTTTATTCACAGCAAGGTATCCATTTATTTTATCACTTACAGTACGACCTTCCTCCCATCCACCTCCTCTGTAACATGATGGTTGGGACGGGTGATATAAAATAAAATGAGATCGTGCCTTTTTATGGATTGTGTCACAATGCGGGTGCCAGGCAGGGTATCCAGGGTCAACAGATCACTGCTGACATAACTGAGGCTTGCTGTGCTGTGCACCGAGAGCCGGACAGTCAGTGGCGAATGCTCTTGTGAGCATTTCTGTTGGTTGTGCCTCTGAGAGGCTCTCTGTGCCTGCACACAGTATGCAGCAAGCTGGCCAGAGAACACAGATGTGAGTTGATTGAAGCAGAAACAGTCTGTACATTGCAAATCGCCAATGTACCTGCGTTGTAGCCGAAACCGCAGTATACTACAGCATAACAAGGTAGCACTGTATTTATCTCAATCAGCTTTGCAATTATTTAGGGTTTGCATGGTTTTTGTCTGTCATGCTGCTTCAAAACCTTGTATGTCACATTACTACAGTATACAGCTGCTGTCATTGTATTATGGCCTGTGACTAAACTGAAGGCACAAAAAAAGCCTTATGTTTTTATGTTAATGTGACCTATGTAGAGTAATGAAACTTTCAGGAAAAAGAACACAAATATAATTTCACAGCCACAAGTGCAGTCAATTGAATTAACCTCTGTTTATTCTGAGAAAATGATAAGGTCAAGGGGCTTGTTAGACAAACTACACAATCTGAGCAATTTTATGGTGTTTGCAAAGGAGATGAAACCTGACTTACAATTTACCATTCAACATTATCTCCAAAATCAAGGGGTGTCTTTAGAAGGATTGGTGCCTTTGAAGCTCAGTAACTGGAGCAGGCCGGAGCCTGCTGAGCGGTGGAGCGGACGGGTTGATAAGGGGTTTACAGGTCGGAGAGGTAGGAGTGGCAAGGCCATGGAAGGCCTTGAAGGTGAAGATGAGAATTCTGAACTCGAACCTCTGAGGGATGGAGAGCCAATGGAGTTGGGCGAGGGTGTGATGGGGTCACAGAGCCTGGTGAGGGAGAGGTTACGAGCTGCAGAGTTCTGGATGATCTGCAGCTTGTGGAGGGAAGAGTTGGGAAAGCCGACAAGCAGGGTATCGGTAGTCGAGCCTGGTTGTAATGAAGGCATGTTTGAGGGTTTTGGCGGCCGGAGGGGTGAGGCAGTAGCGGAGTTGGGCAATGTTCCGGAGGTGGGGGAAGGCAGAGTGGGGGAGAAAGGACAGTTGAGGGCCGAACAAGACTCCTAGGTCCCTGACAGGCCTGCTGAGGTCGAGTGTGCATCCGTGGATGCTGCTGCTGTCAGTGCCTGAGGTGCGGAGGCGCAGCGCGGCCAATCAGGAGAACCTCGATCTTCCTGATGTTCAACGGTAGAAATTTGCCTCTCATCCAAGATTTGATGTCTGATAGACATTTTGTCAGGACATCAGTGGTCTTGGGGTTGAGAGTGGAGGCAGAGAGATAGAGTTGGGTGTCATCGGCGTACATGCGGAAGTTGACCCCATGTCTGCGGATGTTGTTACCAAGAGGGAGCATGTACAGGTTGAAGAGGAGAGGACCGAGCCATGAGGAACACCACACGAGACGGTGCAGGGGTTAGAGGAGAAGCCATATGTGGAAACAAAGTGGAGCTGGTGTGAGAGATAGGATCTGAACCATTCAAAGACAGAACCTTGAAGGTTCAGGTGAGAGAAAATGTGGTGGAGGAGGATAGAGTGGTCCACAGTGTCAAAGGCAGCAGAGAGGTCGAAGAGGACGAGGAGACAGAGGGAGCCCTGGTCACAGATAGACAGAATGTAATTTGTCACCTTAACCAGGGCTGTTTCTGTGCTGTGGGCAGCACAGAAACCTGACTGGAAGGGTCGTAAAGAGAATGGCAGGAGAGGAAGGAGTGAAGCTCGGAAACAACTCTTTCAAGGATCTTGGAAAGGAAAGGGAGGTTGGAGATGCACGGTAGTTAGTGAGCAAGGATGGGGCAGGGAAGATTTTTTTAGGATAAGGGTGATGACAGGTGTTTTTAGGGGGTGGGAATGGTGCCAGTTGACAGGCAGAGGTTGACGAGGTCTGAGAGTAAAGGGGCGAGGAGGTGGAGCTAGGAGGCAAGAAGGGGGGTTAAGGTTTTTTGGGGGGTTTAAGGAGCAGGTGGTGGGCTTCATGTGGGTTACAGTGGTGGTAAGAGAGGAGGGGAGATAGGTTTGAAGGTGTGGAGGGAGGGATGAGTAGGGGCCAGAGTGTGAGGGAGAAATGGGAAGGGGTTGGCGGTTGGGAGGGTGGAAATGGCTGAACGGATCCCCCTGATTTTGGTCTCGAAGAAATCCAGCATCTCCTTGCAGTTGGAGTTGGAGGAGAGGATGGGTGAGGCATGAAAGAGTGGACCGAGGAGCCAGGTCATGGAGAAGAGAAGTCTGGAGTTGCCTTTGGCCTCCAAGATTACCTTGGAAAAGAAGGACGATTTAGTGGAGGCGAGGGTGGACCAGTGATGATGTGCATGTAGACTTTGCAGTGAAGTTATCTGTGCACATCATCAGACTGTTGTGAACTTACTACCACTTGTAGACAGGACCTCAGTCTGATTTCCACTGGAACCACGGTTCCTGTATTTTTTCGATAGTCAATTGTCCAACACATGTTCACACCTATCACCATGCACCGATAATATCCAAACCAGACTGCGCGTTTCATATACGTATGCCATCCACACATGGAAATTTCCCCATGTCTTGAAAGAAATGAACGCACTCTTGCTGGAAAGACGTACCCTGCTTATCTAGTTCTGGAGAGTATTAGGTGCAGGTTAGTAAGAGCCCAGGCTTGGGAACCCAGGAGGGTGAAGTTGGGATATTGCTGGGATTTAATTGCTTAGTACGTTATAGCATATTTTTGAGAGCACTATCTAACAAGCTTTGATTCAGATATTTTATTGCCAAGCACGTCAAGTTACAGGCAGCTCAGCTCCAAAGAAACACCACTTACTTCTTTCCCTTCTTCCCCCTGCCCTAGAGGACAGTCACCGGTTTCAGTCTGAAAAAGGCCCATAAGAACAGGTAGAATTTCCCGACCCTGGTATTATCTACGTTAACCAAGTCCTTCACTGCCCAGGCAGCAAATTGCAACTCACAGCTCAGTAACCATCCTTTATATAGTGCTTTATATTGCTCGGCTTTATCAAGAGACAAAAGACCTCAGTGATTCTTGATCTGTTGATCTAATTTACTCTCATGGTGTGGAGGATAAGAAATGGACCAAAAAAATTGTCAAGAAGCATGTCAGAATACATCTTAAAGGAGAGTAAATCTGTATTGCGTTGATACTCACCTTATCTTTCTTTTGCTTCCCATCTTTATAAATAGCCCACCTTTTTCCATCAGTGCTGTAAGCTACCTTGTACGATCCTACAAACTGAATGTGACCAAAGTCTTTTGCGCCCTGGGTGATGATGCCGGTCACTTTAGTTGGAACAAGAAGATCAATCTGAAAAATGGAAGAAATATAAAACTCTTTCAGTGTTAATATACAGAGACAGTTCCATCAGGTTTCTAAAGAGAAATAAATGGACCAACCATATCAATAAACAGTCATCTTATTTTATCATCTCCAAATAAAATCTTTTGCTCAACAAAGTGGTTTTGTTAAGTTCTTAGTGCGAAAAATTACCCTGTTTGGTAGTTACTGATATTGAAAGTGAAAATCTACAATAATCTATAAAGAAATCCCATTATAGGACCAGTGAAATTTCACCCCACTGATATTTAAATCGATTTTTCAAAGTCACTGGCACAAGAGGAAGGGAAGCATTTCTGAGCTGCAGACAGGAAGATAGTGGCAGTCCTCTCACGAATTTCATGCTGAGCTGTGTTGTTTCAGGGAGCTCCTGGTACCTACCATCCACCTAATGAGGGTTCAAACTCGCACTTGTTGGATGTTCTCGGTGATGGGGGGGGGGGGGAGGTAAACGGGGTAGTCTGGTTCCAAGGTGACATGTTTGTTGACAGAATGTCAGAATAAAGCCAGGCTCTTTGGTGAAATTATTATTCTCTTTAATTTGCTGCTGAGCGACTTGGGAGACAAGAGCAAATCTGGTTAAATATGTAGAATACTGTCAAATCCTGTTTTGAGTCTTCAAAGTTTTAAATAGATTCAAATGGTACAACATGTATTTGATAATAACTTGTGCAAATGATATAACGGCATAAAATGTCATCAAAGTGTCTCAAAATGATTCATAGGATTTTACTGTGAAGTACATTGATTGTGTATTTGTAGGTGAAAGCAGCAGCAAATTTTGCATACAGCAATGTCCCACAAACAGCCAGGAAGTGAGTGACCAATTTTATTTGTGCGATTATTGGCTAGAAAACTGGGATAAACTTCCTTCACTTTTCAAATAGTGATTTGGGCCCTTAATGTCTACCTGAACAAGCAGACAGGTTTTAGTTTAACATCCCATATGAGATGGCACCTCTATTAATGCAGCACTCCCCACTATTAGCCTACGCTGTGAGTTCAAAGTCCCAACATGGGGCTTGAACCCATGACCATCTGACTCAGAGTTGAGAGTTCTAATCAACTGAACCAGGCTGACACACACTATGTACTAAACTAAAAAAACTTAGTAATCAGACACAAGACCTTTAATGCATTTGTACTTTTATATACAACCCATTTTGACTCTGGAAACCAGATGTTTTGTCAATGTACAATTCTGCCAAAAAGTGATTCTTTTTTCATCTAACAGAACTTAACAATAAGTACATTTTCAAGAGAAGCTGGAGCATTCTTAAGAGCTGTGCACCTAATCAATAGCTTAATATCAAAAAGAACGTTCTAAAGGGCTCGTATTTATTTGAATCATAATTTAAAACAGCACAATTTTCATTTACATGTCAAGTAGCTTGAAAGCTCAGTGATTCACTTCTCCACAACACCTTTTCAGAGTGACGCCACCTATTAAACAAACTGACCTATGCTTGTCAAAAACAGTGCTCTTTTCAAACAAAAAAGTCTGTTTTCTTTAAAAAGTCACAAAACTTTAAAATGATGAGCCGCCTCTCCATAAAATCATACCCTAAATTTTCTAAATTAATTTCCCATTTAAGATCTGACTAACAAATTGCATCTTCAAGCACATTTTTTTATGGCTTATAGATACAGAGAAGTGACTTGTAACCCAGGATAACTTTGGGATAACAGCAAAGGTAACCGAGGGAGGAGGTGTATGCATAGGATTTTACATATTGGTACATATTATAAATATACGGCAAAACAGCATTGAAATCGAATTTACGAGACTGAGAACATTTAAGTAAAAATCTGAGGAACATTATATACAATCACTAAAGTCCTCAAGCTCTCAATTCAATATTCTCAGATAATCAACACTGATTTGTTTGAGGAAATTATTTTAGTAGCAAACAGTTACCATGTGTGAGTTTACATAGATCAGATTGCAGTGTAAGTATGCAGTAGACCGGTGCCAAAGCACAAAGCCTGATAAGCCAGTTTGTGATATTGGTGCCAAGATACCTTAATTGTGATAAGCTATTTTCTACACAAAATCTAAACAGATTCAACATAGGAACAACATTATCCAATCTTTGTGAGGAAATCTATTGAAGGAAACTGGGTAATCACATAGAATGTCATTATTTTACTCCCCCAAAATTGGATGTTAACAGATCTAGCTTTTAGAATTATTTATCCCTGAATAATCCATTTTTTTGGTATGGATTCCCTCTCAACATCTTTGCAGCCATGCACTAAACTAGTTACAAAGATTTTTTTTGTCAGTCTGATTTTTGACACATGCAAAAACCTGTCACCATGCTTGGGCATATCCAAACTAAATTACTGAAAGTTCTACTTTTGAACTGTGTACGAATTTCAGTATGGAGTACACATTCTCTTCCTGTTTATCTAATCCTAAGGTCCTAAGGACTTTAGGCATAGGTTGATGAGAGCCAAGGCTTGGGCACTCCAGAGTGCATTGGGGTACTGCTGGATTTAACCAGCTAAAACCACTTATCATTGCAAACAATTGTCTAACTAAGATCACCCTACCCGTTAGGGTTTTGGCTTACAGGGTTAGCAGGAACCGAGTGGGAAGAATTCCAGGTCTCAGTCGCTGGTCTATACCTCTATTTTAAGTAAAGATTTGCTGTGCTGTTTGCATGTTTATTTTGGCTGTGATATCGGGTTATCAATACTGTGCTTTCCTAAACTCCAAGAATAGTTTTGTTGGGTGGAGCAAAATGCTTCTCATATACTTAAAACTTCGTGATTGAATTTCATCCATAAATTACAGAATGAAACCGTGTTTTGTCTCTGCATACAGAGCTATTCATTTCAGAAAAGCTCAGCATTACAAAATCAGTGTTTACATGCACATCAGCTACCCTTTGAAGTAGAAATATGTTCATGGTGCATTAAAAAGGTTCACAAGGACTCCCTTCAGGTCATTCTGTTAGCTGCCAGAAGCAAGCCTCTCATATCCTTGAATGTACACATGCCTGTGTTTAACTGCAGAATCTATCTGTGGATCATCAAAATGTTTACATGAACTACAAATAATGAATTTCTTGACTGGCAGAATCAATGCAAAGTGTTCTATGTTTGTACGAGTGAAGATGTATAGTTGAAATTTTTAAATGACACATTCTGGCATGAAATTAACTAACTGCTGAATTCTCTTTCTACCAGTCAAAAGGGTGTGATTAGTTACGATAATTATTTCTAATACAAAAAGTACTGTAAATGAGCCCTTGAAAGCACAGTAAGCTAACACAAACCTTTTCACCTTGTTAACAACAGTTTGAATCTCACCCTAGTGTGCTGAAAATTTCCCCCGTCGAGGGCCCTATATCAATGGCTTTGAACAGTCTCAATCAACCCAGTTCTTAGTGAACCAGAGCAGAAAGCAGAAACCAATTACCCTATTTTGTCATTCGATTGTCAATGTTATACAGAGAGGGGTGGTTGGTGTTGGAAATGAAAATATCTTTCTGGTGCAGCTGTGGCAAAAGCATGTTATTGGGATGGAGTGGAAACAGCTTTACTGTCCAGCTAGTTGATTTGTAAGCTCTTTCTGATGTCTGAAATTGTGAAATTGTTTCATTTTTCAGCAATGCAAAATACAGAGGTCTCAGTTGGTAGAACCTTCGCCTCTGAATGAGATCGATGTGAGTTCAATCAGGATTTTGAACTTGTATCGTCTAGGGCTCTAGCCTGACAACAGCAACAGCAAGTTACATTTGTACAGTGCCTTTCACATAGGGAGGACTGACACGCCAATGCAGTGCTGCATTATTAGTGGTGCTATCCTTTGTGGATGAGATGTTGAACCAAAATCCCATCTTCCTGGGCAGGTGGATGTTAAAGATCCCATGCAACTATTTAAAAAGAGAAGGGAGTTTCTTTCAGTGTCCTGGTCAACAATCCTTGAAACATAAAACTGGTTTGCATCCAAAATACAGTCACTACAATTTATCGTAAATCTGTAAGGTGAGGGTGCTTTGAAACATCCTGATGTGTTAAAATCCAAGGATAATTTTTTATTTTTAATATTGCTCAACTCGATGACCATAAACCTAAAATGACTGTTAATCCTGAACCATCACTTGGGAAATTATGCATTTCCATTATTATTCTATGATAATAATTAGTATATATTATTATAATTATTATTTTTATTATTATGAAGCATTATGTAGAGCGCCTTTGGCACGGTGCGATTAAAATGGCAAATCCCTTTAGTGGCAAAATCAAAAAAGACGATGTGTGTAAAACTCTGACAAGAAAATTTCCCCGTACGGGTAGAGTATGCTGATTAGTTCTACTCAGCATACATTGAGGTGGAACACTTCACACTTCATGTACTGTACTAACTAAACCATTGGAGAATTCTACCTAGTTACAGTTTTCCAGGGAAGCAATAGAATCAAAAGTACTCTTTGTACTCTTGTAACAAGGATCATAATTACAAAATTAGAAACTATTCCTTATTCCAGAAAAGCATTTAGCTTTACAGAATTTTAAATGCATTAGACATGCCAATGAATCATATGCACATCAACAGAGCAAATTATATAATTCACAGACTTAAGCACATTCAAATGTTCGAGGCTTTGAAATAAATCTCTCATTAAAATAAACATACTGCAGAAGACTTCAATGAACCTTACATTCATTCCGTAGTTGGAGTTTAAAAGATAATAACCACGCAATGTTTGCAATTAAGGACAATTCTGAACTAAATGTTAAAGCTATCAAAATATTGCTTCAGAGCTGAACTCTGTTAAAAGTAGTGTAATATTCACTGGTAAAAAAGTCTCAGGATGTACTGCATATATAGCACAGTGACTATCCCAATATTCGGAGCCAGATTCCAACCTGGCAGAATGTAGAAACACTAATTCCAAAAGTATTAGCATTTTTTTTGTGTGTGGGGGAGAGGTATAAATATATCCTTACAAGTC